GAGTTAGATGAAGCTGATGATGACGAGATGTTGGACAAATGATTTTGAATTAGTGGGGTTGTGTTGAGAGCTGGGGACATCTGCTCATCTTCTAGGTGGCACGTTTAAGAGGGTGATGATGCTGTTGGTGATGATGGTGATATCTATGAAGATGAAGATGCTTATGATGATGACGTTATTGTTGTTGATTATGATGATGTTGATGACGGTGATGACAATGATGTTTTTGAATTTTTATGCTGTTGCAGTCGTTGTTGTTGGTTTTGCAGTTGTTGTTGTTGTTGCTGTGTTGCAATTGTCGTTGGTTGTTGCTGTGTTGTTGTTGTTGCTCTTGTTGGTTTGTTGCTGTTGTTGCTGTATTGTTGTTGCTCTGTTGTTGTATTGTTGTTGTTGTGCTGTTGCTATTGTTGTTGATGTGTTTTTATGATGACGTTAATAATGATGTTCATGACGATAATAGTGGTAATGATTAACGTCTCGAAAATGATAATGGGGGAGTTGATAATGTGATAATGGAAAATTAAGATGACGACGACGTTCGGAATAAGTAACCACGGTGATGACGACGACGATGATGACATTCACAATGATAACAAAGTCAAAATCAAGATGGGTCCTTCTTTAAACTCTACCATAAGAGGCATGATGATGATGAAATCTGATGACGACGATGATGATATGGTGATGATGATGACGATGATATGATAATATCTGCAGTGTGGTTAGAATAATAAAAATGCCATATTTTCATGTTTGTTGCAGTAATTAGAAATACAATGACATTTATTATAATTATGATGATGATGATGAGGAAGATGATGTAGATGATGATGATGAATAACTGGAGATTATGATGATGATGATGAAAAACTGGTGGTGGCGATGATGATGATATCTATCTTTAACCTCACCAACAAAAAATTCTGTTACTAATTAACACGGAAACAATAATGATGACGATAAGAGTAGAAAAATTAATAAAAATCTGAAAAAACACGTAAGGAATATTTTACAATTTAGTAGGATCTGCTCAAATTTAATGTAGCAATTAACACAGGTGATGAATTGGTTCTCAAGATATTTTCGTAACCAACATCCTTTTCCTCTTCTTCTTCCTCTTCTTTTTCCTCTTCATCAACATCTTCATCATCGTCGTAGTCGCCACCATCATTAGTTATGTTTCACACACAAATACATCATTAACGCAATTGGAATGAACAAAATGTATGTACATTTTTTTGTTTATTCTTATTGCTTTTATATAGTTTCAGTCATCATGTCATGTTCTATATTTAAATTTTCACCAACTTCAAATGCATCAGTTGAAACTTCCATGGTGTGTAACCAGGAATAAGCCATTCAACGAGTCTATCATTTTCGAATTAATCAACTAACTTGAATCACAAATAAAAGTAAAATATAAATAAAAACAATCCATTTCAATTACAACTAAATAAATTTTTATTGAAAAAAGGGCGAACTTTTTTAAAAGTGATAATTTTTTTTTATCACAAACATTTGGCTTCATATTTCAACCCAGTCTGGACACAGCAGTGCAAAATAACATTTCATTTGACCCAGAGAAATAAACTGTTCGTTTCTGAATCGTTCATAAATAAACGCTGAGATGAAGTAGAAACAATCCAAATGAAATTGCAAACACAAAATTCTTCATCATCTCTTGATGGATGACAACTGTTGATGATGTTGATGATGTGATGATGTTGATGATGTGATGATGTTGATGACACGATGATGTGATGACGTTAATGATATGATGATGTTGATGGGGTTTCATGCTGATGGATTGGATAATTAAATGGGTGAACAAATGGGTAAACAGAAGAACGGACAGTTGGGTAGAAAGTGCAAAAATAGACATGGAATGTGTGGAACGGTGAAAGACAGAAAATAAAAAAGATAAAGAAGAAAGGCAGAGAAAGAGAGAGAGAAAGAGAGAGGGAGAGAGAGAGAGAAGAGAGAGAGAGAAAGAGAGAGAGTAAGAGAAAGCTATATAGAAGACGTATGAATGCATTTGGTCTGTAATGATTGGACGATGACGATAATGACCACAGGTCGCTTTCGTAACGAGATTTGCTGCGAGATTTGAGTGTGCCAGCGAGAATTCAGTGGAAAACTCGCTTGTTTATGTTCAACGTAGTTGTTGATGGTGGGGCTGTTGTTGTTGTGTTGTTGTTGATGTTATTGTTGTTGGGTGATGGTGTTGGTGTTGTGACGGTGGTGTAGTAGTTGTTATTGTTGTTAATGGGATGTAGATGTAGTTGTTGTTGTTATCGTTGTATGCTGTTGTTGTTGGTGGTTGTACAGCTGTTGTTGTTGTTGATGGCGATGATGTTGTTTGTGATGGTTCTGTTGCTTTGTAATTTTCTTAAGATTGCAAACTTCAACATCATCATTATTATTACCATCATCATCACATCATCGTCATTATCATCACCATCATCATCACCACCATCCTCGCCATCACAACAATCATCATCACAACAATCATCATCATAACCACCATCATCAACATCATCATTATCATAACCACCCCATCCCAACCACCAACACCATCATCATCATCACAACGTCATAGTATGTAATCATGGATTTCAACGTTATTAAATATGTTTTGATTTAATTATTTGATATCCATGCTCTCAACACATCAGAAGATGCCACCCTTATTCAATTACGAGTGCGCCGCTGCATTCATTCATTCATTCATTCCATTCATCAAACGCAACTTCCACACGTTCGTCTCTATCCAACACGAACGTATACGTACAACACACGTACGCTTGCGTACAACGCGCAGTGTACACACGCACCACTACTCAACAACAAACCATAGAACACATCCTACTTGCATGTACAAGCTAGAACTTTCACACACGCACATACATGAAAAAAGTAGGAATTATTATGTAAGCGTAGCCGCATATGTGCACAAAATAAAGGAAAAACCAAAAGTACATACGCATGTGTAAATATTTTCTTTCTGTAGTTTCTATTTATTGCTAGCTGTATAAAATCAGCTATATATAAATCAGCCGCATGTATAAATACTTATCCATAAAGAAATAATGTGTGCGTGTGTGTGCGTGCGTGTTAATGTAAAGTGTAAGTTTGTTTTCAGATTGTTTACAAGGTATATGCAGCTACGTTCATTCACATCGTAGCATGTATTTTGTTTGAAATATTAAATGTTGTATGTGTGCATGTGCATACTCATCAAGGGTCGTTAAGTATTCACATTAACAATCAGAAGTATGCAACGTATGCAACGCATCTAGAAATGTTCAAACACTGCCACTTCGGATGATCAAACGAACTCGGCTGTTCCACACTTTCAACCTGCAGATAACTTGAAGACATCATTCCCGAATTTAGAAAACACAAAACATTTAAAGAACAACGTGAATATAACTGCATACAGCTTATTAAACAAACTCCAAACTAACAAGTGCGTGCTATTAGCACGAACAAGTATTAATCAAACAAACACATAACTCACATAAGCACACACATCCACGCAGTCACGAAACTACACGCACATTCAGGCAGACAAATAAATGCATGCCAAAACACACATATAATATGTTGTACGTGTGTTTGTGTGTACCAGTAATTTGAGTTTTGGTAAACAATTAAATTAGTCAACAACGTTAAAATCCTTCATTAAAACAACAACCATTATAATTTACGACAAGCCGAATCAATACTTTATAGAATAAAGACATCCAATAATAAATATCCAACAACGGGCAATTGGAATCCTTCCCACTAATACATTTAGAAACAGAGGAATCATCGATAATGATGAACCTAAAAGTGTCATATTGGACGAAGTTGAAGATCGTAAAACTAATTAAACAACCGTTAAGTGTTCACATTAAACAAACAAAGAATTAACATTGTAGAGGCAAAGGATATAATTGGGTATTCGGCCACACACAACGTATCAACTCGAAAAAAGCTTTTTCGTTCCATGCTTGAATGTTCTATCATGCTTAAAATAAACAAAAATTTTGGTTTTGGACTCAAGAAACTTGAGAATAATTTACGATGATCAACCGTAAGAAAGATTGAAAAATTAAACAGGAAGCTAATTAAAAGGAACATGCTGGGATTATCATGAATAATATGTATATATATATATAAACATACATACATCTATATATATATATATATATATATATATATATATATATATATTTATAAAGTATACGTCTGTTGTGCAAGTGTGAGCGTTGACACCACGTAAGTGTTGGTTGCATCTGGTTATCAATGGTTGAAAATTAAATCATCACCTCTTCAATTCCTCCTCATCTTCCTCCTCCTCCTCCTCATCAAATATGATTACTCCACATCTCACGCCACCGTGACAGCCAATGTCTTGATGCCCTTTGTTGTGAATTGTTGTGGTGTATGTTGTTGTTGTTGTGAGTTGTGTTGTTGTTGTGAGTTGTGTTGTTATTACTGTGTGTTGTGTTGTTGTTGTGAGTTGTGTTGTTCTTTTTGTTGTGAGTTGTGTTGTTGTTATTGTTGTGAGCTGTGTTGTTGTGAGTTGTGTCGTTGTTGAATTGTGTCGTTTTTGTTGTTGTCGCGAGTTGTGTTGTTGTTATGAGTTGTTCTGTTGCTGTGCTGTTGTTGTTGTTGGTAAGAATTGTGTGGTTGGTGTTGTGAGTTGCGCTGCTGCTACGATGTTGGTGAAAAGTTTTACGTTGTGTTTTTTGCAATTTTGTTTTTACTTTGTTTTCCGGATTTGGACATTTTTATCCAGAGTCAAAGTCGGGTCTAAATCGGAACCGGATATTTTTCATCCGACACTCCGCAAAGTCAATTTTTCTTTAGTATTTGCCTTATCGAATTTCAAATGAAGGGTAAGGGTTAAATTTAAAATTAACATTTCCTGTGATACAATAAAACAAAATAGTTCATTAATTTATTGTATTAATTTAATAAAAATTAGAACTCACGATATTTATTAAACAGTAGCCAACCTGGTCTGTCATATGCACACATGCCATGTTGGAAATGTAAATATATGTAACTTACCTCCAGTGGGGCTGCAGCTCCAAATTCAATTGCAGTTTTATGTATCTTATTATAATAATTTCGATCAAAATGTTAAGGCCTTCTTTGCAAATCATGGCTAGCAGAATTATTTCTAAACGCAACAAAGCAAAAACCCATTGAGTGATAATAAATTATTTATTATTATTTACTATTTCTAAGTTTAAATTACAAAAAAAAGAAAAGAAGCACACTATCAGCTAATAAAAATTATTTAAAATTTTCAGAAAATTACAGCGAACACAAACCGAAAAAAAACTTCAAGCTTGCTAAAGAGCAAAGGCTCAGGCGTAAGCTTTGGAATCTTATAGAATTTTTCGGAATTCTCAAACTTGCAACGGCAGTAATAACTATAAAACATTTTCTAATGTATAATAAGAACGATATTGAGTTAAATGAAAAGGTTTGAGGAGTTAAGCCCCCTACACGCGTCAGCTTTTGGCTCAGTTTTAGCTGTGCAAACCATACCGGCCATTTTGTCGAACTGTGCAGTCCTAGAAACCGGTTCACGTAAATTCAGATTCATCCTGAAATTTTAACTGAACTAAGCAAGTTTGACGTGTGTAGCGAGTACAATTGAGCTGCGCAGTTTTCAATTAATTTTATCTTCACATTCCTGTTAAGCTAAGTAACAATTTAAAATATAATTTACGTAACAATCATAGATATATTATAGATTTTTGTTCCATATCTATGGTAACAGTTACATTTCGAAAACTAAAAATTTAAAAAAACGGCGTTAACAGGAGTAACAATTCTTCATAAAATTTGAATCGTTGCATGAAACTTCAAAGCAGTGAAAATTATTGTACAAATATTAAATAAAAAATTTGAGAAAGTCCAACAGTTTGAAAATTAAAAAAAAATTATAGATAATTCAATGATCATTTAAATAACCTGTTGGTGATAATTGTTTGATAGTTGCCCTGGCCTCAAAGAACTTGAAATTATAACTAATTTTCAGCAAACATTTATTTGAAATGTTTATAGCTCAAATTGAACCTGAAAGTTTTTATATCAAACAGACGCGAAAAATTTGATTTGTTGAAAAATGATGGGAAATAGTTACAGAAATGAAAATGATTTTAACAAATAAAAATACAAGCGGCAAATAATCAAGAAAAATATTTTAAAAAATGCTATCATCCCAAACATAATAGTATTAAATTTGATTAAAAGCCCAAATAAATAAAAAAAATAAAATATTTTATGGTTATATTTTGTCACATTTGCAAATGAATAAATGCATCCAGCATACTATTCGCTCTAAGCGAATCATATGGCAAATTGCACAAAGAACATTCTGGATTTTTTGGAACGCCTTTCCTGGAAAATCTTCTGTTTCCTATTGTTTTGACTTTAGTGATTTTTCCTGAATGCAAGTTGACGTTTTCTGTGTAGAAGACCTCAACTGTGAATATTTTGCAGTCAGGTACTCGGAAGGACGCTGAATGGAGGTCGTACATCAAAAAGGGATTGTTGAATACGTTCAATGGGATCAATTTTTCCTGGCAAAATCTGTCAGCTTCTGAGTTTTCAAGTGTTAATACCAAAGTTACAAAATGCTCCTTACCTCGCATGCAGAAAAAATCTGTAAAATAAAGTTTGCAGTTATGAACGTCAAACAAAATATTAACAGGAACGGTTAGTCTTGTGTTGCCAAACTGTGAAGTTTTTTTAGGTTCTCCAGTTAAAGAACCCTTGTTAACGCTGGCCAAAAAAAACAAGCCATTTAGCTTTCCGTTAATGGGGTTCCTAGGGTCTCCACTGTTGTCTTTAACGTACGTTTTCATGATAGATGATCTCTTGTTTACAATGTCCTCGAAATATTTCAGCGGTTTGTTCCTGTAAAGATATTTGCAGAGGACCAATCTGCCCGTCTGATAGTGTGGCGTAGCCCTGTTCATCAGCTGCTTCAAGTCTTCTTTTGTGAACCCTTTTGAAAGGTTTCAATGATTCAATTGTCTGCTTGAAATACAGTGTTAGTCAGCTTTTTTGAGGGGTCGGTGTCGGATATTTTTTGTTCGACTCCGGAAGATGTTGTGAATTTAAAATAATAATTTAATTTCTATTCTGTATTTTTTAAATCGTGTTTTTGTGTAGCAATAGCCAATCATCTTTAATAGTGAAAAAAATGATGCTAATAAAATAACTTAATTTTCTAGTATGTTTTAAAACATAAATATAAAGTAATTTTACTATGAAAATTAATTACGTCGACTGATTTAAAGTGCTTTTTTGAATATTTTTTATTTAGTTGTGATGATAAGGTAAAATTATAATGCAACAGTAGAAAAATTTTCTTTGGGATAGGAACTTGGAGTCGAAAATATATATTTGGAGTAGAATATCCGACTCCGACACTTCGTTGAAATATAACACAAACAACACCCGTAATTAACACCCTTAACTTGAACAATATTGTAATCATATTAATCAACATATGATGTGTACAATTTGATAAACAATTTTTACAATTTACATAGAATCCAGAAAAAGAAAAACGTTAACATTGTAAAACAAAGGCTCACTGTCATCCATGCTGACGAATTGTTACTATTTTTACTTTACAATTTGATTGACATTTAATCCATTGCAACGTTCCTTTTTTTATAATCCACTAATTTCCGTTCTGAAACTGAACTGTTATATAAAATAGATCGCCATAACAGATGCGAAAGTTGGAAATTCCAAGTGTATTCTTGTTACAGCACAGCAGAGCCAAGCAGCAACGGGCCTACCTGTTCAACAGCTGTGCGAGCACTGTTATTTTAGAGTCGTTGATTGTGCTATTTTTAGAGGCGTGTTTCTTTTAATTGAGGTTATATCAACGGATATATATATATATATATATATATACATATGTATATATTTATATACACATATATACATATATACATATATATATATATATGTATATATATATTGGTACAGACTGTTGTTAACTTAACATTTCAAAAATTCAACACTACTTTCAACATTGTTCAACTTTTTTATATTTCTTTTTACAATAAATTAAAAAATAATATATATAAAATTGAAAAAACGAACTACAAACATATTAACACCAAACATTCGGTAGAATTTATAGAATATTGTAAATATATATATATATATATATATACACGCATATATATATATATATATATATATATATATATATATAGTAAAACTAGTTTTTACGATCTTCAACTTTGTGCAATATGACACTTTTTAAATTTGCGCGGTGTTATTTATGTTAAGAATTGAATTTTTAGTTTTGAGACGTCGTTCAATTTTGCAGCTAAAATAATATTCATAAAAGTGTAAAAAAGAAAAGAGTGCATTCCGCATTTTTAAATTATTAAAACTTTGCTTATCTGCTCAACATTTAATGCCAACATGTCAATTAAAAATAAACTGAATAGAAAGTGAAAACTGGCATTAATTTGATATTGGTAACGAATGAGGAGAAGTAGAAGCATCCAAGTATTGGAAAACCGAGCAGTGGACTAAACAATCAAAACAGACATTCGATAACTTATTTAAGTACAGATTAAAACCTTAAAAATTTGCCAAAATTTAATAAAGTAATGATAAAATTAAAACACTATGAAACCATTAAAGAATAATTGTTTATAAATGTTTCTTGAACTACTATAAAACAAATTGCAAGTCGAACAACTCGAAGATTTTTGTATCCCTCCATCTGCAGAAAACTCCTGACCCCTTACTTCTACATCCTCAAACCAATGACATTCCAAAGTTATCTCAAATTACAAATAGAACAATTGGGTCGCTTCTGTAAGCCTCCAGGTGTCGAACTTCCTTGCCCAATTGTTCCCACATCCTCAAACCAATGCTCTTCAAATTCGTCAATGTTAATATCTTCTGTGTAAAATACTTCTACTAAAAAATATTCGTTAGAAGGTTTGAATATTTGACTGATAGAAGAGAAAAGGGTTGTTTTCGGCGTCCAATGGCACTAAATGCTTTTTACAAAATTCATCTGTATCAGAAAGCTTTTTTGTTAAAACAATTGTAACATAGTGATAATAACTTGTCATGCAATAAAAATCAGAAAAATAGATGTTGCAAGCGTGGACGTTGAAGAGGCGTTCGATGGGTACAATCAGTCTTTTCTTCCCAAATGGAGATTTAGGAATAGGAGCTCCATCCTGGCTGCCGTAGTTTACACTTGCCGTAAAAAACAGTCCGTTAATTTCTCCATTGATAGGGCATCTGGGGTCGCCACTGTTGTCTTTCACGTATGTTCTCATTATCGATGGCTTCTCAGATGTTATTAAATCAAAGTAACATTCAGGTTTGTTTCTGTATAAATACTTACACAAAACACTCTTATCGACCGGGTAATGAATTTTGGCCTTCTCCAAAAGTTGGTTTAATTCTTCTCGGTTGTATCCTTAGTTGACAAAAAAATTTATAAATAACTTTTTGAATCGCAATCGAATCATTGAATAGTTTGAAGTAATAACGATATAAATCTGTTCAATATGAACGTGTTGACAAGTCACAAAAAATAGTGCTTTGTAATTACACAATGAATGTAAATTTAAAAAAATCTCTAACTGATGTTTGCCATTTTAATTTGGTGTTTTGAAATTTTTGTTTCAAAATTTTTATCTATCCGTTCGTTTTTTGTGAAAAAACTGAAGTATTAAAAAATTTAAAAATCCACTAATTTGAGATATGAAATGCGAAACTTTGCCTTTCGGTTTCGTTAAAAATTATGATTAGTCACCATAGAATTTAAATCCGTTGAATTTTAGGTTTTGTAACATAGATATTAAAATTATAAATAAAAAAATGTGAAAAAATAAACAATAAAAACCGTGGTGAAAAAATTTTTCGGGCCGTTACAAAATATAAGGACATAATTCAAATATTATTTGATAGAGATGTACATATCAGATGTAATAGGCTGTAATCATTTGCAATTACCTGGGTTTTTCTAACTTCTTAATTGCTGAAATATTGCTAAAAATAGTACAAATATGATCAAAGTGTAAGATTTTTGAAAATATATCAAATTAAGTTCATTTAGAAAGTTAAATTAATGAAGGTTCAATTAATAATTAAGTCATAAATATGAAAATGTATAAAAATTAAAAACTGTCGCGTTACAAACATAATTACAGCATATAACAGTTAGCTTCGTGTGGTGATCAACTCAAAAACTTCAAATCACTTGATTAATCCTCTAGCCTAATACCCGTATCCAAAGTTATCTGTTCTCAAATTACAAATAGGACAATTGGGTCGCTTCGGTAAGCCTCCAGGTGTCGAACTTCCTTGCCCAATTGTTTCCACAGTTTCATACCAATGGCCTATCAATAGATCGATATTAACATCTTCAGTATAAAATACTTCCACTACATAATACATATTGCTATTCACTCTAAATGTTTGAGAAAGTTGGTCATAAAAAAGAAAAGGATTGTTGAAGGTGTCAAGAAGTATCAAATGGTTTTGACAAAAATTGTCAACCACGGAATTTTTCTTTGTTAAGACAACCGTAACATAGTGGTTAATCCCTTTCATGCAATAGAAATCCGAAAAATAAAGATTACATAGTTCGACATTGAATAAGCACTTGATAGGAATGATTAATCTCCTTCTTCCAAACTGAGATTTTATTTTAGGAGTTCCATCTTGGTGACCTTCTTCGACGCTGGCCATAAAGAACAATCCACATATCAAACCATTGATGGGACACCTGGGATCTCCACTGTTGTCTTTCACATACGTTCGCATGATCGATGGGGACAGCTGGTGAATGCTCTCGAAGTATTCAGCAGATTTGTTCCTGTAGAAATACTTGCACAGAACATTTTTTTCTATGGGGAAGCGACATTTGGCTTTGTCAAGGAGCTGCAATAACTCGTCTTTGCTGAATCCTGAAAAAAATGTTCATGCAATTTTTATAGACATGTACAGTACCTATTTGTCATCATGTCATAAGAAGCAACACAATCACCTTCCCCCATGTTATCACGGTTAATAAAAACAAAATCACGTACGGGATTAATATTTATTATATTATTATTATATAATAATATTTTTATTTTATTTAACATCAACCTACAGTACGGTTCATGTAGCTTATAACAACAAAGTCATTTTTTTAATTTAAATTATTTGAATTAAATATCTTGAAGAAAGCAATGCAACAATGCTGTAATGCTAAATAATAATAAAAAAAAATATACGTGCTTGGACCGGCCATTTCACAAATTTGCTTCAATCGGAATTAAAAATAAATGTTTGTATAAATTACGATATTGTATATTGAGAATTTTATTTGTGTGAGGAGCGATCGAATATGAAAGCAAAACTGCTGGCGGGTGTCTCATGCGGTAAATACCATTTTCTCACTTTCGGTTTCCAAAGAGAACTACGGAGCCACGATACATTGTACTCAACGAAACTATTCTTTACTAAAATAGAAAATAATTTCAATAATTAATTATTGTATAGTTTTAAGTATTTTGTTTTAACATTTATTCTATTTAAAAAAACAATTTCAATTTTAAACTCACTGATACTTTTATTTTAATTGATAGATATCATTTCAAAATTTTGAAGTAAGACCAATTTTTATCAACTGAAAGTATTTTTTCAAGCACACTAACGACTAATTGATCTTTCTGACTCGTTCAGAACATTCTACGATTTCAATTTTGAGACAATTTCTTTTTTAGTGTTTTGCCAAATGAAAAATTTCACTCAACTAAACCAGTTGGTTTTGAGATGACAAATAAAAATTGCTTACACACTCTCATCAAGTCCGAAAACATTAAAATTTTTGTTTTCAACGTCCAAATCTCGTCTTCAACAGCATCCAAATTAATCAATTTTAAACATCAACCTAGCCATCAACATTAACATTATATTCATAATCGACATCATCATCATCATCCTTTTCATCCTCATAACCATCGTTATCATAACCATTACCATCATCTTTCTCCTCCTTCTCATCATCATCTTCATCTTCACCATCATCATTTTCATCATCATCATCAGTAGCAGCAGCAGAAGCAAGACAAAACCATCAGATTGGGCACCCATGTTGAAACATTATTCCTCGCCACGGCCGGCCAGAGGGAGTCACGCCAGACTGCGCAGAGAAATTCGGGCGGGCGAGGGCGGGCGGGTGGAAATCTTGTTAAATGTTTTCACTTGACGAACCAAATAAGTCTCATAATTGGAAATCCGAATGGACGCTAACATATTCCTGTGGCTAATAGATCGTCGCTCCAGTTAATTACTGCAGATGCAGGTGAGACAATGCATGACACTGACAAGTATGTTTTTATTAAACTTCTAAGAAATGATTTAATTATTTTTAATTATGTTTGCGCTAACACAAGTGACAAAAAATGAAAACAGTACATCACACAGGGCAAGCAACAATAACAACAACAAAAATCAACACGACACACAACATCGCAACACACAGCAACACACCAGCGAAGCAATCTGCACAAATATAGTCACGTCTCGGCGAGGAGATTTGATGCAAGTACCAAGCACTAATGAAGTAAAGACTCATTTGTTTGTCGGATCTTCACACTCCACACATGCAAACATTCGCACACACTCCACATATGTCTTCACTCACAAACACACGCATACACGTACAGTACACACACACACACACGCACACACAAATTTCAAAAATTATATTTTTAAAATAGAACGAATTCTGCATAAGAAAAACAGAAAACTTGAACAAACATGAAAATCTTGACTATAATACAACATACAATCACAAAATGACCGACACACCAATCTACATCTATTGATCCAGGCTTAAAAGTCCAGTATAAATGTTTATACAAACTAACAAACAAACCAACAAACATTCGCGTTCAAATATTTTAACAAAATTTTTGTTTTGTAGACAAAATTGAAAAATAGCTCGTGTAGAAACATATGTCTGAAGAAGTCAAAGTAATTGCATATTGATATTTCTCCATACAAACACACGTGCACAGTACAACCATACTCTGATATGACAACCATACATATACAATATAATCATTTTCAATATAATAATAATAATATATATAACAATATATAAATAATTTAAATATTATCATAAAAATATATAAAACTTGAACATATAAATGCAAATCAACAAAACCCACACACACACACACACGCGCGCGCGCGCGCAAACATTTGTACAAACAAACACACTCACATACATACACACTCACATTTCAACACTAACTAATTTCCAACTAACACACATACACGCACGTACTAACACACATGCACGCACGTACTAACACACATACACGCACGTACCGATACATACACATACACCAGAGTGTACACACACGAAGAGTGCAATCCTCATTAATTTCATTCTTTATGCAGATTTGTCAGTTAATCTCCAAACATCCCACAACGCCGTCCAACTACTGCTGCATTTCGTCATAACATATCTTCAACGTCTCTTATTATTTTCCTCTGGTATTATTATTATTTTTATTTTTGTTATTGTTTTCATCATCATCTACTTTTATGGTCATTCTTCGTTGAGAGCAATTTCATATCATGGGTATTATTAATTTCCTAATTTCACTTTTAGTGTAGTTACCTCAATTCAATTCAATTCAATAATAAGTTTATTCAGCAAAAAGCTAGGCGACCCGAAGATATGACTTGTTGGGCCACCATAAAATTTACACCAAAAATTATATATTGAAAAGAAATGTTCATATTTCACAATGAAATAATGATAGTTCTATAAATAAGAAAAAATAAGATTAATTAAATTATTTAAGTATTAATAAACCTTCTTAAAATTGAATAAATATAAAGTACATAACGGAAAACAATCGCATTAACAGAGGACATGGTTGAAATAATTAGACTGAATGAGTTATAGTGTTAACGAATCTGAAATTTTAGATGTGGTTGGTAATATGAAAAATACAAAATCCTTATCTGATGATGAACTCAGCAACTATATAATTAAAAACTGCATTTACAATATTACTAAACCTCTTGCCTATATATTTAACTTATCATTTAAACAAGGTGTCTTCCCCACTGTATTTAAAACTGCTCGTGTTATTCCTATATATAAAAAAGGTGACAAACGTTGTGTAAACAACTACCGGCCCATATCTTTATTATCTCCATTGTCCAAGATATTAGAAAAACTCATGTATATTCGAATGCACAAATTTATAACAACTTTTCATCTCCTATCGGAAAACCAATTTGGCTTCCGATCTGGCAGATCAACTGAATTAGCCAATCTTGCCAATCAATTAGCCAATCAATTAGCCAGTTTGCACATAACACCCTTTCTAATATGAATGATGGACTTCTTACAATTGGCGTGTTTATTGATCTCAGTAAAGTTTTTGATCTCATTGATCACACTCTTCTATTACGTAAACTTGAAGCGCTTGGCTTTCGTGGTAAATCTCACTCTTGGTTTATGTCTTATTTACTCAATAGATACCAGTATGTAAGAGTTAATGATGTCAATTCCCATAAAATCTTGGTACCTAAAGGTGTCCCACAAGGGTCTATTCTTGGACCCTTGCTTTTTATATTGTTTATTAATGATTTGTTCTCTATTAAAACCATATTCAAAATTCTTCTTTATGCTGATGATGCTAGCTTTTTCTATTCAACTAAATCACCTCTGAAGGATTCGGACTTACTTAATTATAACTTAAAACTTATTACTAACTGGTTTTATACCAATAAACTAAAAATTAATTATCAAAAATGTAATTATATGATTATTGGTCCGAAGATCCTTACCAATACTTTTGGTCCCTTAAATCTTCATTTGAATAACCATTTTATGGAGAGGTCTTACAGTACAAAATTTTTGGGTCTAATTATCTCAGATAATTTATCTTGGGCTGAACATATTAATACTATTTCTTCTAAATTAAGCAAAATTTTAGGTCTTCTTTATAAAATAAGATACAAACTTAATAAAACTACTTTAATATTGTTGTACAATGCATATGTTTTTCCTCATCTATCATATTGTAATCTTATCTGGGGCAATAGCCCTGCTGTTCATGTCTCAAAACTATATAGAATTCAAAAAAAATTTATAAAACTATTATTATATTTAAAAATTACCACTCATGTTGATGAATATTTTTCTTCTTTAGGTCTTCTTACAATATACAAATTACATATTTTTATTGTTGCCTTTTTCATGTTCAAATTTGTCAATAATCTGCTACCATCTAATTTCTATAATATTTTTTCACTCAAACCTTCACATATTTTTAAATCTACTCGTCACTTCATTCCATATATAATACCATTCAGTAGACTAAAAATTTTAAATGATAGCATATTTATTCTTGCACCCAAAATTTGGTTTACAATTTTGCCTCTATCTGTTACAATTATTTCAAAACCTCGTCTTTTTAAACAACATTGTAAAATTTATTTATTGTCTGATAAACGGCGATTTTTGCAACTATAGTTGTTTTAACCTTATTTAAATCTTATTTGAATAATTTTTGTATATGAATAATATCAATGATATGAATAAAACTGTTTTTGTATGTATGTATGTATGTATGTATGTATGTATGTATGTATGTATGTATGTATGTATGTATGTATGTATGTATGTATGTATGTATGTATGTATGTATGTATGAATGTATGCATGTATGCATGTATGTATGTATGTACGTGCGTATGTAGGTATGTATATATGTATGTACTCTTACTTTTGAACTATATTTGGTTTCATATCATTTAATTTATTGAAATGCTATAGAATCCTAAATTCAAAACTTTAATTTTATGTACTCATTTTGAACTATATCTCTGTTTCATAAGATTAATAGAATAGAATCTGCAGTTCAATAACTTTTGATTTATTTCGATCTAGTTTAATCTTTGATTTTTGTCGAACTATTTTAATTTTTGATTTTTGCTGATAAATGTTGATTTTATTTGGATAGGGTGACTTTCTTACAAGCATTTAGTTGCTTTTTTAGTTTACCCCTCTTTTGAGAAAATAAACGAATTGAATTGAATTGAATTGAAAAAAAAAAATAGATAGATTTTCTAAATAGAGCAAGGGAAGAAGAATTTTTAGTAGTCATCGGTAATGAATTCCAAAGACGCATAGAGATATATAAGACGGAGTTGAGGAAAAAATTTGTTCTAGGTTTCAAAAAGTAAAATTCAGAATTAGAACGTAAACAATTTTGCCTAGTATTTTTAAATAAATTAATCTGATCTTTAAGAGATTGACAATAATTTAATTTATACATTTTAAAAAAAGATAGTAATAGATAAATAATATGTAGTTGGTTTATGGTAAGGATATTTGCTGTTTTATAGTATGAACTTACATGGTCAGATCTCTTTAATTTAAACGGAATGTGAAGAAAAAAATTTTGAGCTGGAGTTAAAATATGAAAGTTTGATTTAGATGTACCATCCCAAACAGAAACACAATAAGTCAAATAAGGAAGAATAAGAGAGTTATATAAAGTTGTTAAAATAAATCTAGGAAATTTAAACCTCAATTGATAAGTTTTTAGACAGTTTACAGGAGATATGTTTGATATGATTCAACCAAGATAAGTTAGAAGACAAAATAACTCCCAAAAATTTAAATGACTCAACCCTTTCAATAGTAATATTATTTAAATATATAACTGGATAAACAATATCTGTTCTAATTTTAGGACCAAATAATATAAAATATGTTTTACTTAATTGATACGTAGATTATTTGAAACAACCCAATCGTAAACAAAATTTAGTTCGTAGTTAATTACCGAAACAAGTACATTAAAATCCGAGTGAGAATAGAGAAGAGTAGTGTCATCAGCAAATAAAACAAATTTTAAAATGTTGGAAGAGTAAACAAAATCATTAATATAAATATTAAAAAGTAAAGGGCCCAAAATAGAACCTTGAGGAACACCCGATTTAATAGGAGACAACGAAGACATGGAACTACCAATAGAAACAAATTGAGAGCGATCATTTAAATATGAAGAGAACCAATTATAAGCTAAACCACGAATACCAAATGAATATAACTTGTACAATAAAATACTGTGATCTAAAGAGTCAAAAGCCTTGCAAAGATCTATATAAACACCAATAGAGTATTTTTTAGATTCAAGTGCATGAGAAACAAAATTAATAACGTCTGAAACAGCAAACTCAGTAGACAACTTTTCACGAAAACCATATTGATTTAAACAAATAATATTATGATAATTTAAAAATTTATTAAGACGATTTAAAATAATTTTTTCAATTAATTTTGACAAACTAGAAAGAACAGAGATAGGGCGATAATTATTAATAGAATGACGGTCGCCACGTACCTACCTACCTACTGCTTTTTTACCTACGATGCTGTTTTAATGAATTTACTTTTTTAAATAGAAGTTTTTATTTCAGTTATTTTTATTGTCAACTAGTCAGAACCATCATCGTCGTCATCATCGTCATCGTCATCATCATCATCATCAGCGTCGTCATTATCAACAACATAATTTTATTCATTTTAACATCATCATCAACAACCTCAACAACAATAACATCATTATCAACAACATCAACAACAACAATAACATTATCATCATCAACAACATAGACAACAACAACAATAACAACATCATAATCAATATCAACATCTTTGTCATCATCGTTACCGACAATTCCGGACCTTACCCCATCGTTCAATGCATAAAGTAACTCCATATAAAATCAAACCAAAAAAGTGGCTGGAAATAACTTAACTTGCATTTGGGCAGAACGAAGGAACTGTCATCAGTCAACTGTCATTTTAATTTTATTTTGTTTTCTCGTACGTTCGTTCCTTAAGGAAATGTCTTTAAGAAATTATATCGAACAATCATATATAATCAGGTTTTATTTTCATTCTTATACTTAGTTACAGCTCAGGTTTAATAATTTCTCCATTTATTCAATTTCACAAATTAAAATATTTGCTGCAACTGTTTAATTAAAAGATAAAATTTTACCTCCTCGTTTCCAGCCGGAAGTTCTGCCTTGAGTTGAGAAGCAGCAGCAGCAGCCAGACGCGTATTTACAAAAACTGTGGCCCTAGGCGCACGACCAATTTGGGGCCCTCTCGCCTATAAGGCGATCAATGATCATAATACAACAATAGTTAGAACACTCATACCCATGTATTATTTAACATGCATAGATACTACAGCTATAGATACTAAATAGAAATTACAATTGTCAGTTTATTACAGTTATATAACTTTTTCCTGCTCTTCAATTTCGCGAAGGAGTCAATGTGCGCATTGAAATCGTATTCTAATGTCTCCTTTGATTCAATGCATAAAATAGACAAATCTCCCAGCTTACATTGGCTAATGGAATTCCGCAAGTAATTCTTGATCCTTTTCAACACAGAAAATGACCGTTCTCCAGTTGCGTTTAATATAGGAATGGTGAGAAAGATTCTTAGAAGGGTTTCCACATTGGGAAATGTACATTGTAGTCCACCCACCACTATAAGCCGGTACATCTCTACCGCAGATTTTGCGCCTTCTTCCTTAGCGAAATGCAAAAACTGTTTGATTTTATCGCCAGCTGTATCAGAATTAACATCGTCTTTGTATTCTTCGATCGAGGTCGAGATCTTTGTGTTTATGTCATCTACCTTGTCCTTGAAAAATAGACTGAACAAATCATGTATACCTTTGTATGCTTCGATTCTGTGATCAAGTTCCGTGATCAATTTATCAGAAACGGCGTTTACTGTGTTAACAATAAAATTATCACGACCAGTTAAAATAACTTCCGCTTCATTGCTTTCATCAGAAAACGGTTTTCGCTTTTTCTTGCGGCTCACTTCATCTTGATATTTACAGTCTTTCAGATCCTCGTTAATAAGCAATGCTGCTCGTTTTTCAATACGAGTGAAATCGTTTCGGACTTCATTGTTAATAAAAGGCTTCAGTGATTCTAGAAGATTTAAACCAGAATCAAGATATAAATTTGAATTTTGCAGGGATTTGCTGGTTGCATTCATCCGCTGTAAAATTGTATCCCAAAGAACAGTCATCAATGCAGTCTCAAAAAGATCCATTTTATTAGCAAGAGCATTAGCCTCATTTTTTACAGACGCCTTCTGATCACGATCTTCGGCTGCTTGAAGAAGAGCTTCCTGAATACCAATGTGGTTCTGATGCAATGCAAACACTGCATCCGCTCTAGCTGACCACCTTGTGTCCGATACTTTCTATATGGTACATCCACTTTTGACTAGATGACTTTTAAGTATGTTCCACCTGTGTGTGGATGATGAGAACCACACATAAACGTTTTGAATAAAGTTAAAGTATGATACTGCTGAAAGCGACGATTCTGCAGCCGAATTACCAACTAGATTTAAGCTATGGCTAGAGCAGGGAATGTAAACTGCATTGGGACTGTGTGCCTTGATTCGGAAAGAAACTGTACAGTTGCTACAATCCTTCGTAGAACTTTTCTCCAGTATTGCCTTTCATCATCTGACTGTTTCGCCATTTGTTTGTCAATATGCCCGTTTGCGTTTAAGCGTTTAGCCAAAGTGCACATTGCTTGAACATGGCCATACAAATTTTCATGTTCATAAATTTTCGCGGTAATATTTTTCCAATCTGAACACCCATTTGTTGAAAATTTACTAGCTTTATTTGGAAACAGTTTGCATACATAAAAATAAACACTTCCACTAGTTTCACTGAACACTAACTATTCACATCTTTCTTTTTGGCCATTCGCCTTGGTCAAGTAAAAGTTATGTTCAGATAAATGACAAAAATATTGTCTGCCACGATCTGTCATCAACATGTTAGCGCGTGAAAAGTCGCCAACATTTTTTGGTTTGAAATCCAAAACATGATTACGCATGGTTTCTGTCAAATTCGCTGGCCACATAGCAATATCTGTCAAAATTTCACTACAGTTGTTATCAACAGTTTCAATACTCGCGACCTCTATAGAACCTTCAGCCGGCGGTTCAGATTCTGGCAATTCTGTTGGATAGGACTCAGACTCCATACTGGCTGTTGCCGAGACGACTGCATTTTGATTACCAGCTGTTATTTCTGTTTAGGTAGTTTCTGATGATGGGGTTACCGGTCGTTTCGCTAAAAATGTCAACAAGGCGCCTTTGTTTTTCGCATCTTCTGCTTTTCTTTTGAATATCACGTTTTTTGCACCTGAGGGATATTGTCTCATAGACATTGTTTTAATGAAACGATTGTGTTGCAATCAGCAGCAGAAAGGAAAAATGATCATTCATCCACACAGTGAAATTATTAAAATAGTGTAATAAACTGGCAATTAACAATTAGTTATTGCAAAAAATTAAAATTTGAATTGAAATTTTTAATTGAAATCTGTGACGTAAGATGCGCCAATAGTGTTCGAATTTTACCACAATTCAAAAGTTTTTTTACATTTTTAATTTAGGGTTGAGCGAAAATTCGCGCGCGCATTTTTGGCAATTGTTTGTATATTTTTTTTTCATACGTTGTTCAAAAAAATTTAGAAATAATTATGAAATATATTATCTGAAAATGTAAAATTAATTTTTCTCAAACTTATTAAATTTTTTTGTGCGAAATATTTTTAATAAACTTTTAATAAATACGCTTTTAATTAAGAATAAGTTATTAGGTAGAAATTTTTGTTTTTATGGTCCTCATCATTGGAATAAACTGCCATTCTTTATTAAATCTAATCTAAATTATAACTCTTTCAAAAAACAATTAAAAACATATTTTTTATGCTGCTCATAATATAATATAGATATATATATATATATATATATATAGTATATTAAATTTCATTCTTGATTCATTCATCCTTTATTTCTTATTAATTTTTTTATAATAATTTAGATTGAATTATTCATTATATGTTTTATCACAGATATAATATATGCAACAAGGTTGTTTGTAGAATATCTGTGGTGTGTATATATCTATTATTTTTTTGTTTTTCCATTATGAGGCCACCCATAAATTAGTATTATATTGCTAGGGTTAACCTTTTTACTTTGGTAAATAAAATCAGTTTAAAAAAAAAAAAAAAAAAAAAAAGCTTCCAAAAAACTCATTTTTCAAGTTTTGGGGGCCTCTAAAATCTGGGGGCCCTAAGCGCGCGCCTAGTACGCCTATGCCTAAATTCGCCACTGGCAGCAGCAACAGCATGCCTATTTTCATCAGGCGTGATGGCCCAGCGATTAAGGCCTCCTATCCCATTCATCGTGTGTGATGTGTCGTGATGTGTCTTCATAAACGCTGTTTGTGTTTCGTTCATTCCTCCGAACTATAAAAGAGTGGGAAAGACCTTTATCTACAAACCAAATGATGCTCATCCAAGTAACAGTTTTAAATGTTTTTTTTTTACATTTATTCGCCCACTTTCAAATTGGACTATGGGTTCGTGGTTGTTGCAGGTTTCATAATTTTCCACAACTCTTCTACGCTGCGTCAGTCAGTGGTTAATTGTAGATTTAACATTCATGTTTCTTTCATTTGTAAAATAAATTTTCCATTTTATTTATTTAAATTAAAAAAAAAATTTATTTCCCACGAACGCATAATCATCCTTATTTAGAATGGGCATCCTTAAGTTCCCACGTAGTTAGCTTCGGGAATTGAAATATACTACTTGAAATAAACCTGCGAGCGTTTGCGTTATTATATATCCGTTATAATTGGTTTTATGCGCAAATTATAATGGACGTGTGACGTCATTGCTGTTCTTGTGTCCACTAAGGTTTAGAATGGCCGGAGCACAACGAGGGCCAGATTTGGAAAGAGACAACAGGGCTCCTGCTGGGAATACTCCATAAAAAGTACCTCCACGATAAAAAAAACACTCAAATTAGAACTGGGTAGCAACTAACATTCATTCTCCAAACTTTTTTTCTCACAAATTTACCAACAAATTTTGCTCAAACATGATAATTTTGTTCAGTTCGTTAAAGTTGCATTTCAATTTGAATTAAAGCATATTTGACTTTAACAAATTATTCATTATTATGTTTTATTTATTTAATTTGCAGTTAATCGATTTAAAAAAATACAATGAAACTCCGCTCCTCTGTTTTCCAGGGTCCCCACTGCTCCAAATCTGATCCTGAGCACAATAGGACAATACCAACTTTAAATAACATGAGCTCCTATTAACAAAATTGAAAGCTTACAATTTATACTGGTCTCGAATGACTGGCGCAAAAGATTATGTCGTTTAAGTAATTTACTGAATAGATTGGAGTATTAATATTTTGTCGGGTAGATTCCCATCGCAGGGCTCTGAAGGGGCGGAGCCAGAATTTACGATTTCAAAATTGTAAAGTTGATGAGCGGTCGTTTTGTTATTTGTTGTACTTCCTGTATTGGTGAGGAAATAACTTTTTAAATTCTCTGTTGAAATTTTTTGAACTAATTTCGATTTGTTTTATTACAATTATACACAAACTTAACAAAATTTTCTTCTTTCATGGTCTGGTGAGAGAATGCATCCCCGCACTCCCCTGGATCGACCACTGGTGCTTCCTCATGCATTCTTTTTACTTCTCCACACCACACACATACATAATATTTTGTTTTTTGAGGTGATAACTTGAAACATGCTTGTAAGACACTAGCGAACATTTCTAAAAATCACCCTGGCGAATATATTGTCGATTGACAGATACGAAATTCGAAATATTGCTAAGAAATACAACAATAAAAGAATAATAATAATAATGGGAACAGATCTTTTATTTTTCATCGAATGCGTAAAATCAAGAATAAATTAATTAATAGAGAAAAAGTCATAATTAAAATAAAATTAAAATAAAACTATAATCATCATAGTTAGTCATCATTGCTCTTTATTTAAAATAAAAAAAATGCAGCGATGATAAGATAGTTATGAAAATTGATTTACGCGTTGTTCCGATCACAATATATGGCATATGATGATGATATCACTCTGCTAATTAAACTTTGGCGAAAATATTCGGTCCAAATTTAAAGAATTTTGAAAGCCTGTAATGTTAATAGTAATAACAATATTTGAAATGATGATAATAATTAAAACAACCGACTGGATGATGACGTTGATGACAATGACGAAGACTTTGATGAAGATGGTGATGAAGAAGAAGATGACGGTAATGAAGATGATAATGATGGTGAAGATGTGATAACGAAATTATTGACAGGAGTGATACAGAGTGCATTGATGATGATAGAAATGTTGAACTCAACAAATAATTTTCAAAATTTTTAAAATATAAATTGGTCTACTCATACGTAGAGTGCGAAGAAATGGTTGAAAGCTCATCCACAAAGTTAATGTATAGAAATTATTTTTAATTCCTTTCATTTTATTTGTACAAGTTTATTCAATATATCATCTTATATAGATGTATTTTTTAATTCAAAAATAATAATTTTTGTTAAAACTTTAAAATTTGAAAACGAATTTCAGATTTACATATTCTGTTTGCCCACCAGCCCGGCAAATTAAATTCAACACTTTTATTTTATTTATCGGAAAACTTTTTGTATTGTTGATTTATTGAGAAAAATATATGAAATTATTTTCGCAAACATTTTCATAATTTTTAATCTTTCAAACATTTTCTCATTGGTATTTTTGAATTTATGATTGAAATTTACGACTAATTTGATTCAATTTTATGTCGTTGCGTAACTCCAGCTAAATTATTCATTGCTGCCTGAGATAACTTTTTTTAAAAGAGATTTTTTTCAAACTAAAAACTTTTCATACTGCAATAAAAGATGCTAGATGATCAGCACAGTACCGATCATAGCAACAAAGAATGTCTGATGATTAATTAGAATAAGAAAAATAGCAAGAAGTATTTTATTCAACCTAACAAGTTTCATAAAATGAAGTACAGGATGGCTGTGTGCGGTCGACAATCAACTCATCTCCCAAAGCCATTTAAACAATAAAAGGAACACAATATAAATGTCATTTTAGAGTTATGAACGATTTTTCAGTTCATAAATTAAGTTTGTTTCACAATTTTTTTACGATCGTTTTGAAAATCATTTTGTTCATCAAATCATATCGAAAGCCTTTTTTCAGAATGTCGTTGCAGACTGTGATGGTATGAGATTTTTGGTTCAGACTTTTTTTTCAACAAGTTTGAAATATTCAACAGGTTTGAAATGTTCATTTAATACTGGAGGATGTTTTTGTCAACTGTTTTTAAACAAAATTTAAACAACAATACTTTAAGAATAATAACAATGATGACACATCTCTACCATAGATTATAAAATGACATTAATTATCACATCAATGATTAAATTACGTCAACAATGACAACATCATAACAATAGGACGCATGTAATGTGGTCAGGTGAGCATGGAGTGAGTGGGTACTGTATAAACTGGTGCACTGAGATGTTCGAGATTAAATGAAATATGTTTCTACTACTATCACTTGTTAGTTAGTCTGCACCATCTTCAATTATTTCAACAAAGACACTGCAAATTTTTATCCATAGTATCCAACCTTCCAACATTTTTAATCATTTGTTTATGAAAATTGTAAAACATGTTAGGACAGGAAACAGACAAGTTCTCTCCAGACCTTCAAACGAACGGAGAACAACGTAATTGTCCAATGTTTGTGAAATAATCATTTTATGAACTCGCATTTCCTAAATGATCTCTTAAAGCGTTACTCTATTGTCCATTTTCAATATCATTTTGAGAAATCAGGAAAATAAAATGGGAAACGATCAATCAGCAACAACTTTTAGAACGTTAGTGACTTTTTGAAGGTTTTTTTTTATATTTTCTTCAAAATATTTTAAATGAGTTTTTCAATATATAGCAAGACAAAATTTTAAACAATTGTTGAACTTCTTAGGCAAAATATTTGTAAAATTCAATGGTTCAAAAAAATGTTGGAATCCTAAAATATATGTTAAAGCATCTCTAAATGAATAGAAGACAAGCAATTTTATTTTAATAATTTTCAATTAAAACAAATGTGTTTATTATATTATTTTTCAGATCGAATAATTAATTTATAAATCTGAATAAAAAAATTTACAGTCAAATGCTTCAAGCATTTTATGTTAGACTAAAAAAATATAAAAATTTTATTTTACATTTATATTACAATTTCACTGAATTTTTCCTGCATTCGTTTTTGAATTTTAAATATGACCCGTTGAGTTGTAAACATCAAACAAAACCCAGTAGTTTTTCAGCTAAACTAATCAGTTCAGAGTCCTGGCACACAAGAAGACTTTACGTTACATATCACACAAATCCACTTACTAACCTACACACCACATGCCAAGTCATTACTGATGACCGAAGCGAAATGTTTAATGCGATTTCAATCTAATATTACTTGGAAATTGTCTTTTAAAGTTTTATTGGAATGAGAACAAGCGAATCATTCAAAAACCAGAAAAGTTATTTTGAAATGTAAAGATGCAACATTAAAAAAATGAAAATAGATTATGTAAGGCAACTGCATCAAAATAAAGCCCAGGTCCAGGTTTTGTATCCTCTCTCAAGATGATCATTTTGCTCCGGATTCTCGTGACACCAAATATCTCGAATTGGTCTTGCATTAATTTCATTGTTAGCTATGAACTCATTTCCATTTTTTTCATTTTCCGTTGTGAAATGATTTAATGGAATTTTACATTTAAATAAAATGCCGCTTTTCTCTCCTGAATTCTCATATGAATTGCTTTCAATTAACTTCGCCAGACTTCCGCTAAAATTTTTTATATTGATTTCCAGCTGTTTTTCACTTTCCGATGAAACTCCGCTAGACCAATCATTGCAAACATTATCATCCATGTTTTTACTGTTCTTGCTGCTACAATTGTTAACACTTTTAACAACATCCTTTAGATTTCTAGGCCGCTTTGGAGCATTTGCACCACCATCTTCCAGGTTATAGAACTGAGTTGAAACCCTCATGTTTTCAATTTGAGTTACATTTGAGTTACCATCAATTTTACAAATAATTTTCATGTCTGGATCGAAATCCCAGTTAAGTCTCTTTAATAATGTCGAAGGAAATTTCAAAATACGTAAATTGCAATCATCGGCCGTTAGAACGATCATTCCTTTGGAAGTCACCGCCACACTGTAACATTTTTTAATGCGTTCTGTTGATTTCAGTGCTGCCAATATCGTGTCACCCTCTCTGTTGAAAATTGTTAAATTGAAGCCAAAGTGATTGTCGGCTACAATAACTTCGTCATTTCTTCCAATTCTTACATAAACCGGATAATTTATGATGAATCTTTTTCCAATCGTTCGCAAATTTCTTCCTTCATAATTGTACACCTGAAAGGTAAAAATGGATTATGAAAATATGGAAATGTTTCTATTTTATTTACTTAATAAATTATTAGTGGACTAGTAAGAGCAAAGTTTATTAAAAATTAAAGTTCACCTCTATGCAATGTTTTTTATTGTCGCAGATGAAGATCTCTTCGTGTTGATTGACATCAATATTGAAAGGAAGAAGAACGTCCCGACAGTAGACAGTTTTCAAAAGTACTCCGATCTCGTTGTATATGTAGATTGTTCTTAACATGGTATCCAGAAGTAATATGTTGAGGTTTCGGTCCACGCAGACATCATGCGGATAATTTGAATGGTACGAGAACGATGTAACTTTGCTGAAATCCGCCGCTATTATCTTGATCTAAAAAAATTGTTATGTATCATTAGAATTTTGATAAATCACTTTTGTATTAACATTGAAATTGTTTGAAAACTTTTAAAATCACTTTAACTTACTTTTCGGCTTGGAAGTCTTTCGACCATAATCAGCCTTCCCGTCTGCTGGCAGTGGTACATATGACCAGGACAACGCAATCCATTGTCCAGGAGATAGCCGGAACTTATCCGCTCACCACAAAAATCAAAAATGGTCAACTTATGTTTTGTATTTTCTGCTAATATAATTTGATCCTCAGCGTTTTTACATAAATTGTTTAAACCGCGAAGCAATCCACCAACAGATTGTGTGAGAGTAAGATATTCACGTTTCAAGCCCATATTGTTATAAAACTCTGAATTTGTATAACTTTGTCTCAAAGCAAGGCTATCTAGGTCATTGTTCTGCACCGAATTAATTTTCTTAAACTTAAATTGTGGCACAGTAGTTACTTGCAAGCCATTATTAATGTTTCTAGAATTCAACTTATCATCTTCGGGGCTACCATCTTTGGCAGTCCAGGGATTGCTCCACATTCCTAATGGTTTTGTATAATTTGATGAAAAATCTGTCATTTTTAATATCTTCTACCCTAACGTTGAAAAGATATAACACAAATGTCTATATCAGCTGGCGAGAAAGAATCTGCTAATAATTGTGATGGTTTAGCCTCATCGCCATCGCTATATATACAAAAATTTTACAACAGTTTGCTTTGAAATAAGTTACCCCACTTGATGTAAAAATTCTTCTCTTGTGTAAAAATTAGCAAAGTTAATTTTTTAAACACATAGATAATTCACTTTATAAAAAACATAAACCATTTTATCGTTTCGATCTTTATCGAAATTGTAAAAATTAGAATATAATTCAAAGTTAATTTGATGGTACTCAACATCAAAAAAAAAACTTTCGTTTGGTTTCAGCAAATAATTGTTTATTCTAAAGGCAAATTCTAACTAAATAAAAAAAATTTATTACATAGATTTTACTAAAATATTATTTCGTAAACCACTTTCAAAATACATACGTTCTCTCTCAAATGTAAAGAAGATGTGTGTGTGAGTGTGTTCGTTTGTTTGGATGTGTTTCAAATGGATTCTTTAAAGAAAACATTCAACATCAAAGGAAATTCAATATTTATTATTGTTGTTTACAATAACCAAAAATGGGCGAAACATTAACGTTTCTGAGCCTATATCAGTGAAAATTACATAAATAAAATGTTTTTTTTAACATAAAATAGATTTGAAAAGTAATGAAAAAAATGGATTTCTCTGCGTGTATATCATCTCATTCATCAGCCAATTGCAACAAAATGGTTGTTCCAACATCATGTACCCTGTAGTAATAAATGGGAACAGATCTTTTATTTTTCATCAAATGCGCAAAATCATTAATAAATTGGTTAATAGAGAAATAATCATGATTAAAATAAAATCATAACCATCAAAGTTAGTCATCATTGCTTAAATTTAAAATTTAAAAAAATGCAGCGATGATAAGATAGTTATGAAAATTTATTCACGTATTGTTTCGGTCACAATATATGGCATATTATGATGATATCACACTGCTAATTATGTTTTGGCGAAATTATTCGGTCCAATCAGTTTTAATTAATGACAAATTGAAAGAATTGTAAGAGCCTATGGGCGATAATTCAAAAGAATTTATTAAAATGGTATAATGATTAAAATGGTTCATCAGATTGTTTTTGAGATTGGTTATATATTTGTCGAGTTTGTATTGCCTGGACTTGCCAAAGTTTGTTTCGTGGCAAATAGTTAATTCAAGTATTTCAATCGTATTGTTACTGAAAATGGCAATGTCTGGTCTAAGCGATCTGAATAGCTCTGATAGTGGACGTGTTGCATCATCCTCTACATCCGCGAAGATGGCGATATTCGGACCAGCACATGCTTTGATGTTGTTGATGATTATTGAGAGAACTTTGTTGTGGCGATTTAAATATCGTTTGAGTGCTGCCGTTGAGCTACAATTTGAGAACACGTGTTTATTAGTTTGTCTCACGTTGCAAAGTGGGCATAATGCATTGTTTGTTTTGCCCCATCTTTGAAGGTTAGCATTTGCAGTCAGTTGTTGTGTAATATATTTTCTTACAAATTTATAAATTTTTTCTATACAAAATACAATTTACTTTTAAAATTATTCTTTTTATTATTATTATTATTATTATTATTATTATTGCGGTTGAAAAAAAGTCGTTAACATTATTATTTATTTATTGTAAGATGGGGCTGAAAATGTTATCAATTAAATTTTTACAAATTCATAGAGAGACATAGACTTTAAATTTTCTTTTGTGGCGAAGCACTCCTTGCCTACACCTCTGATATTTACAATAATCAAAACGTTCGCCATCATCTAAATTTCTATTGACAAAAAACTGGATTAATAACTAATTTTTTTTTATTTTTTGGTGGTCATCATCATGGCTTTTTGAACTAATAATACCCTAAAAACATATTTAACCTGCTGGCTGTTTGGGTATTATAACAATTTAAACGGGTTATAAACATTCGAAGTTTGAAAAATAAATCAATTAAATGAACCTCAAAGCTGATCAGTTTTTCTGATACGTCATCACCGTCCCTCTTTCGATAACATTGATAGTATGTTTACATGAGCAACTACTTTTATCAAAACACAAAATTGCATGTAACACTGTTAATTAAAGAAGTTAAACTTGTATAAATGTTTCGACTTTAATTTTTGCGCCGTTGTTGTTGGCTACAAAATGACACTTTGAATATTGATGAATACCTCAGATACATTCTTCTGATTTTTTCATACAACCGACGTCTCATAATTTGAGCTGTTTTTCAAGACCAGCAAAAAACGTCTCCTGCCACCTTGCGAGTTTAATAAACAAATTTTACATGAGATTTAAAGATGAACTTTTCAAAAATCATAAATTTAAGCAGTAATAGTTTATAACTAAACTTAATAATTAAATAAGTTTAGTATTAGTTCCATTGAAAAGGTCCGTTAATAACTCACTCGTTTCTTGTATAATATAGGAAGTCTGTCAATCAAATGTACATAAAATAAAAAAATTATTTGCAGATTTATGAGGTGGACCACACGGGCCAGTACTTCCTCGTTGTGAACAGTATTCGTATTAGGTTAATAAAACCTCGTTGTTTTAACCGAAAAAGTGCCGTTTTTGAAGAAAATGTGACGTAATAAACAAAAAATGGTCGCGTCAGCTGACAATGTTGATCCTTGTCATAATGTTGGCTCACCCCGGTCAACAATGAAGCATTGAAACATATTTAAAATTTGCCTAAATTTCCCCAACGGTCAACGTTCAAAAAAACTTTGAAAATTCAAGTCTCTCGCTAAAGTTGTCTTGACCTGCCACTGATTATTTGATGAAATATTAAATATTTCAGTTGTGTTTGGAAGTTTATCATCAAGTTAATCAATTCCAATCAATATTTATTTACAGTTTTTGTTTCATCGTTTAAATACGCCCCAATAAAACTCGGCCTATGCATTGTATCAATATAAACCGTCCACGCGTGGCAAGCAATTGAATTTCATCCGTGTTTGAAAGCAGGCAGGTGGTGGATGTAATGTAATAACTATCTCACGATGGCTAGATGATTACAGCAACGACATCAGTGTTATTGACATTAATAAAAGTGGAAAAAAAACGCAATGCTATGTTACATAGTAAAATAATAATATTAGCACACCTCTTGCATTATGACAGACGCAGTTATACCGAGACGATTAACGATCCATCATCAACAACATTTTCTTCTTGTTGCAAGACCATCACGAAAATGAGTAAAATAACGTCTACGACTTGAAAAATATATCTACAAAGGAACAACAGCGTAAGTAACTGGAACGTAATTAACTTCAACAATATAAGTGACACTAACACAACATAAACAACAATTATATTAGTAAATAGATCAATGAAAATTCACGTCAACATGAATAGCAAGAACCACACAAACAACCAAACTAACTAAATAACAACAATTCGTTGCTGTAGGGTGCTGGTGTAGGGGTAGTAAATAAAGTTTAACGAATCCAGAATGCTGCCACCAGATTGGTCATTGGTCTAAGTAGACATGATCACATTACAAAGTGGTTGGAAAGTCTCTACTGGCTGCCGATCAGGGAACGGATAAGATTTAAGGTGGCCGTGGTGGCTCATGGTTGCGTACATGGTGGTGGCCCAGATTATCTGAAGGAGGTTTTTCGCAAAAGAACTGAAGTTGATGTGGGACAAGCATTGCGTTCGGTTTTGTCAGAAATGATGGTAATTCCTAGGACCAGGACAAAACTGGGTGACAGACGTGTGCAGGTTGCTCTGTCCAAGGTATGGAATGATCTCCCAACAAAATTAAAGCAAATTGTTCCAGAAAAAGATTTCAGAAGAGAGTTAAAATGTTATTTGTTCAACAAAGCATTTAATCACAGTACAATCCTCTGAGGAATGCCAATAGAGTGAATAACATAATAATAATAATAATAAAAATAATAATAATAAGTATAATTATAATTACAATAATAACGATAACATGAAAAAACAGCAACATAGACAACCACAAAAACATAGTTAACAAAACGACAACCTAAATAGCTACAACAACATAAAAAACAACAACAGCGACAACAAAAACAGATAGGAAATATATAAACAACACATCACTGATCTTAACAGGCGCCTATACTTTAACGCTCCAAATAGATGCTGCTTTTAGCGAAACTCCATTATGTTGTATAGTGTTATACATACACTGAAGAGCTATTCATATACACATCAGTGAGAAATCGCACGCTGTAAGCTGATGCATAACTTTTCTGCAATGCTAAACTTCAGTATTATTAATATTAATATATATTCTATCTCTAGCTTTCCTTCTCTCATCTTTTAGTACATCTCTATAGAATGTTGGTATGCTTTTAACGTGGTTTGAGTAGAAGTTTGTTGAATGAATTAAAGGCTGTGATGTCGACCGTAGTACAGTTTTTCTAATTTTTTTATGAGTATTTTTGTGTAAATTATTTTGCAGATGTTTTTCTCACAGCCGCACTATCATATTGCGTAAAAATATGGCATAGTCTTTCGGAAGAAGGAAGAAAAATAATGAAATCTTTCATCAGTTTCTAAAGAATTTGTTGATAGAAAATTTTTTACTACATCGTAACAAAAATTAGGATTTATATAAAAAATTTTCATAAAAAGTCGAAGAAATTATTTTTTGTGACATGACGGAAGCGGAACCACTGATGGAGCCAACCTTCAATGACGTCATCAGGGACAAGTTCCGCCTCAGGAAGAAGAAACTCTTTGAAGGTTGGTGGAGGTTTTAGAGTTGATTCACTGGACAACATAATTTATTATGAATAACATAACTTTCCATGGACAATCTTATTTACGTAGTTTCAAACTGTTTAAAGTTTTATCATACTTTGTTTTCTTAATTTTTAACCGTGTTACAATATTTCGCATTAATTTACTGATTTTTTTCTTCTTCACTATGTGATCATTATGTGTTAAGCCAGAAACAATTTATTCCTTGAACAACAAAATTTTTCATAAAAATGTAATCAATGAATTTTATTTTATTAAATGTAATTAAAAGGGTTTTCGAGCCTGAAAATTTAAATTAAAGTCATGCAATTATACTAACAAGTTTCACATTTTTATTGATATTTTTTATTTATTCGTTATTTAAATTAATTCATGTCTGTTAATTAAATCATGAATTATTATCAGAAGAAATGAACAATGGAAAGTTATCGAAAAATTGATTACACAATTCTGAATCAAATAATATAAATAAAAGACTGATTGATAAACGCGTGGCAAAAGAAAATTGAAGTGAAAAATTCTTCAAAGAAAATACCTTATTATTTAACACAATTATTGTTTAAAATTATTGTTAACTAAGTTAGTTTTAACACGGAACAATGAACAAATACCAAAAAATGAATTAACTCCAAAAGCCCAACGTTTAGAAATGATTTAAAACTCAATGCTATTAAATTATTAATACAAACACACATTCATATAGCTACCTGCACTGACAAGACCACAAACCCACACGCACACACACACACAAGCGCACACACTTAGACACATATCCATTTACGTAACTTGCACACGCACACAGACACATTCATGCATTCTCCACAGTAGATTGTAATTGAAAAGAACCAAACTGCTTGTTGCATCACAAAAATTGTTCAAGTATTATATACTTGGGTGCGTATTTACAAATTTAGAAAGGTTAAAGGTTTCTCTCTCTCTTTTGCGTTTGCTTCAGAGGTTTCAACAACAAACACACGCATCATACACATTGCATATGATAGGTGGGGATCTCTTTGTATTTGAACCCAGTCATAGCAATAGCAAGACCAGGCGCCTTTAACCATTGAGCCATCACAAATTTAGAAAGCATTGGTGTCTTTAAATGAATTGATAACATATGAATTATGTGTAAAAAGATACATTGAAAATTTACACACTGCATGGTGCTTGCTCATTTGCGTACTGGTTATTCATATTGATTCGTTGCCGATCATAGAATCACACATCGCAACAGAACTTCGAACTGGGAGCAATTCTGTTGCGTTTCTATATTGTACTAGCTGTTGCGTGTATTATGATATTGAGGTTCTCTGAACAAATTAAAATGGACGCGTGATGGTCAATGTTCTCTCTTTCAGTCAAGTTTATAACGAGAAGAATACCACCGGATTTCACTGGGAGAGAATATTATGTCGCTAATCATTTAATTAAAAAGAACAAAAGTATAAATGAATCTGAAACAAATTGATGTTGGTTGGATGGCTGGTTTGTGTGATGATACGCATCGTACAAAATTGAGAAACTTTTATCACAGTAAAATATATTCATTGATTCATTTATTATTTGCAATTCGATTAAACGCCCTGTATACATTTATTATTAAGATTCATGAATCATTTGCTTAACTGTAAGCCATCATCAAAATTATTGAGAATAAAAAAATGACCACCAACGCAGCTCCTGAATTCGTCCAGCGGTTGACATCCTTCCTCGAGGTCGACACAGGCAAGGTGGCCATCTTCCAGGGTCAGTACAAGGCGCTGCCCACTCCAACGGTCAAGTGGTTCAGGGAACAGACTCAACTACAGCACGGATGCAAGTACAAGATCGAATGCAACCAGGACACTGGAGTGATTCAATTGAGTGTCCTGCATACAAACTGGAAAGACGAAGGAGCCTACAAAGTCAAGATTGAAAATGACGAAGGGGTGGCTTCGTCCACTGCTTACCTTTCTGTTATCCGTTAGTCTCAGGACTGCTTATGAGGCAGATTATTTTTATTATTAGAAAGTAAAATTGCTTCGTGCATATTAATGAGTGGTGCCAAATTGCGCTGTTTTAAAACGGAGCATGACTCAACATTACACCATCTTATCAGAAGTTAATGAACATAAAAAAACTACAAGTTCGAAATCAGTTTTCTTATTTTTATCTCACGATATTTTTAAACAACCTATTTTGTTGGAAAGAGAAAAAATTATTTAATTGCAGTCAAACATAAATAGCGCGACGTTGATACTTTAATTTTATTCAGCAGAACACCGGTTTTCTTTTTATATGCAGTGCTCGGCTCTCTTGCTTATTTCAACCAACTCACGATGCACTTGCAAACTAAGTTTCAATGTATGTAGACGTTAATTGGGATTCGCTATTAACAGACTTCATTGAATAGATTACTAAAATTATTTTATTGACGTATGCTCTGGCATTAATATATCTTGTACAACGTTGGCGCGAACTTTGATTGGGGCGTTTTTTCTTACCAAAACGGTCTGGCGAATAAATTTGAAGCAGGAATTACTTTTAATTTCAGGAATTACTTTTAATTTTGTTCATGTATGTACAACTACAGCTGAGGTATAAAATTTTGAGGTGTTTTTTGAAATTATTACCAAATAACGAGTAGAAAACTTAAAATATTAACTATAAATTTGATAATTAAAAGGATTTAATAGAAATTTAAAAAAAGTGTTTTAAGAAATTTTATTAGCTGTTATATTTTTAAATATTTTATGATATTTTTACTAAAACGTTTTTTTACCAGAAAGAAACATAAATCAATAAATACACATTGTATAAATATCAAAAGCATGCAATCACCTGCAGCTCAATAGATGTACCCTTCTCCCAATCCTTCCATTTTTTGTGTTGTATTTTGTACAGTTTTATGTACACATACACTTCGTATGTACACATTTATGTTTGACTAGGGTTACGTGCCTCTGAACAAACAATCACGTGACCTATAAATATTATTAATGAGGGTTCGCTCGTCGGAATTTGTTTTAAATTGTGACCATTTCATAGCTACATCAACTTCACTTCGGAACGCTTAATTGTTGAACAATATTTGAAAAAAGAATTTAAATTATGATGGATGGTGAACAGCGTCAAAGCACAGACGATGCAAAGCAAAGAAGGGTTCAGGGAACAGGGTCAGCTCACCACCCCTACTCAAACCAATCGAAGAGTTGAAGTCAGTGGAGGAGAGCGAGGAGAGGGAGTACCAGGCCCTACCCCCGTCACCTCTCAATCAGTTCATCGCTACTATTCGACACTGCGCAAGGTCCATGAATGCCCCGATCGATTACGGCAACTTGGAGCAGTTAGGAGAAGGTCTGCTGCAATTTTGTTGCTACTTATGTTTCCACTAACACAATTTTTATTGTAAATACTTTCACGTTAACTACAAAATTGTTTTTGTTAGGTTAGTTTATTTTTTTTTCTGTATTGCTTGATAAAACGGTTGAAGATACTTTTCCTATTGTTTCTCAGAACAAAGTGTTAACTCTTTATTATATTGTTTTAATTAATTGTGACGGTGCTAGTGAAACTTCCACTTCTAATAACATTACTACTTTCTTACCAGCATTTTATTGATATTGGATGTCAGAAACTAATAGTAAAAACACTTCCTTTGACGAAAATAATTTTTTTTACGACAACTTAATGTTAAGGGAAACAGTAGAAACAACTTTGATAATTGCGCTAATAAATAACACCGAAACATTGAACGCTTATCTTTCTTGCCAAATAATTATATCACTTTGAAGTGCAGTTTTGTATTATGTGATTATTTTACATGACGAAACACTAAAATATATGTACATTATTTTTACAACATACAAACATTTTTACTTTAAATTGCTGATCTATAAATGTTTGTGCACAGCATTGGACGTTGAAACGATTGAAGACGGCTTGGACGACGTCTTTGAAATGAACAATGAAATCTCCTCAAAGAACAAACAGACCAACAGCTACAGAGACATTGACAACAACAACAAAAATTTGTCCGATGAAGAACTTTCAACAGGAGAATCATCTTCATCAGAGACTGAAAACGTTTACAACAGCAGCCCTCCGTCTTCAGTCAAACTTTCACAGATGTTGGGAGTGGGCCTTGCACACGTTCCATTCACCATCAAAACAGCAAGATCGTCAAATCAAAAAAACAAAACACAAAATGAAAACAAAAACACACAGAAGAGTCTTCAACAACAAAAACAACCACAACAAGACCCAAATCTAAAAGATCTGCACCTTATTGCCATTCACAGACCAAACTTGCCAGCAACATCTCAGCGACCATCGAATCGTCCATTGTCTCCTGCTCCTGTGATTAATATTCACACTGGATCAAAAAGAAAACAAGTCGGTGATGTTAAACTCTCCAACAACAACAACCTCATCATCAGCGACAGCATTGAACACGATCAAACAAACAACCAATATGTTAGAAATGCTGAATCTGCCGTGAGTGACGCAACTGTCGTAGAAGATTCAATGAAAGCTAATAGTTGCGAAATTGTCTCTAGCAACAACAACACCAACACTAACATCAACAACAACTTATCAAAACATCTGCCGAACTTGGGAACATTAAATGTCTACATCAGATCCAACCATGACACGTTGAAAACCGCGAGCGCAAGGCCGGGTCAGAACGTCAACATCGGTTATAAAAACTCCACAAATTATAATCCAACGTTAAAAAATCTTAATCATTGCAATGTCGAAGAAAATTATAAAAACGTCAACTCGAATTCCAGCAATTTCGATAGTGTTCAGTCGAATAATGTTGCTAAATCAGAGAAACTCACAAGTTCGAACCGTCCTCTAAGGTGCAACTTGAATGTTGAGAACGTTAATACCAGCGATGCAACAACATTCGGCGATAACAAACACTCAAAAAATGCGCTGCGAGACCAAATTCAATCGCTGCAACAACTGCAGCAGCAACAACAACCACAGCAACAACAACAACCAACTGATAAACAAGAATTTCAGCAGTTAATTGTACAGACACTGGACCTTGCGCAGTATCTGCACGATCCATATTGTCTGCTTTCAATTTGTTTCGTTTCCCTGGCCACACTGACATCCCTTGCAATGGATACGAACGTTTCATGCCTCATCATACTCGTTGTCCTAACCGTCATTATTTCTGCGGCCAACCGTTCCAATGTCGACAAAAGAAAAGTTAACCATTCAATGTCTAGTCATTCTAACTAAATTTTCCTATTCAAATTAAGAGTATTTGATATTCACATTTCTATATGAAGTATGCGTTTTCCCATACTTATGCTGATATATAACAAAAATTTCACAATTCACGTTACTGTATTGTTTAGGATAAGTGTTCAACCTAACTAACGATAGTTAATGTTGAAGTTGATTATGCAGACGGGAGCTGATTTCGACCGGCATGAAACACACACACACACACACGCACGCACACACATACTCACGAAGATTTATATTGTAACCCTCCATATTGGATCATTTCTTCATCGAGATCATTATTATAATACTTCATCATAACTAAGTCCTCATGCAAAATTATGCACCTACCAATTTTCAAATTAATACAATTACATTTATACGTTTACACATGCAAACAGAGAACAACAGACACATGTACTTAATTTTTTTTCAGAGAAATTTTTTTATATAGATAAACGCATCCTACATAGGTACGTACGTACATACATACAAATATACATACCTACATGCAAGTAAGGTACGTATTTACGTACATACAAACATATCAAAACATATACACATACGCGTGCATACATACATACGCACACACACATAAACTTAACAAAGACACACAAACTTATATTCAAAACGAAACAAATACATACATAAACGTACAACTAAAATTTTTCATTCATCTACAGATTAGTACACACAGACGTACAAACTAACAAACATACATACAAAAACATACAATACTACAAACAAACATGCAAACCTGATATATACAAAAATTTATTTTTCAATCATCAAGAGAAGATGAAATATTTCGAAAGATCTGTTTTTGCATGGAGACGTGAAAACTTTACCGACCACATACAAGTTGTTCCCGTACTGATCGTGTTACCATAAATTAAATTTCTTTGTTGTAGATTTAAAAAAATTAATTAATATTGAATTTAAATTTTCAGTTTTTAAATTCTAAACTTTAAGTTAAAGTTTCAAAATAAAATTTAAAGTTAAACTTTTTTAAAATTCATTTGACGATGGAATGCTTCGAAATCAAGTTGTTAAATTGTTTATTAACTTAACCTTATCCCGTACTGAAATAATTGTAAACAAAATTAACAGAAGGTGAAAATCGTTAAATGTCTCGTAAGAGCTGAATAATGCCAAGCTTTGCCAGTTAAATCACAAAACTCCTCACTGAAAACGTGAGAAGCTGTTGCAAAATTATGGAGAAAAAAAATTGATTACAAAGATACAATATATTGAAGTTATACGAAAATTGTAAGGAAAACATGAGGAGAATGATTGAAAAATTATCTAATCCACTAAATAATGTAAACGATTCAGTAACGAATACTTTGATATCATTATCACTATTGCTTAATATTATGAAAAATTGAGATCACGAAAAGCAGATAACTTCTGCAGTTTGAAAACATCCACTCAAAATACCTTTGAAGATATAATAATTAATCAACATTGTCTGAAACGAAATTAAAATACTAAGCTTACTGAAAGTTTATACGAACTTATATACCCAATCGCTAAAATTTATTTAACTGTACACATGAGTATTCACACATACACACACACACACACAAACACACACACACACATATATATATATATATATATATATATATATATATATATATATATATATATATATGTATATATATATATATATATATAAACACACATGTATTTATTAATGTAAGAAGTACAGAGTTACAAATAAATAATATAGAGTTATATTTCACGACTGATAAACGAACAGTTGAACACGTCAAATTGTTCCTTAAAATATTTTAGACTTTAAAATGTCACTTTCCTATAAAACTGCAATTGCCCAAATTTATAAAATCTTGTCCATTCAGTGAATATTAACAATTGTTTTTGCGTTTATTACAATTGTAAAACTAATCTGAGCAAATCTAGTGCAGAGATAGAGGGAGATTTATGTCTTCTTTGGTTATAATAAAAAACAAAATAGCATAAACAGCTTCAACTGGACGTTCCTCTACAAAGCGTAAAATGTTGAAAGTTAAAAAAATTAAAAAATAGACAAAAAAATTGAAAATTCAAGTAAATTTTAATTTAAGATGAATGTCAAAACAAAAAGAATAAGAAAATTTCAAATAACTTATGATGCGCTAAAATAATTGCACCGACTCCATGAAAAAACTGATATTAAAATTAAATTGAAAGCTAAACGATACAGTAGAGTAGGATAGCACTGGATTTTGTTGCTCCGGTTGGCAGGGAGAATAAAAAATAAACACCGGCCAAATATTGGACCATCAATTATAAAACATGTGAATCCTTTTCTTCATCCTAATTTAACAGGAAAATTGAAAAACATTCTAAACAATTGAAAAATTGGTTGGGTTAGAAGTACTTAAACCGACAAAGTCTATACTCACTAAGCAATCAGATAAAGTAAAATATAGCCAGTGGCAGTAATAATTTAATATAACTTATTTTATGGTGGATTGATAAATGCTCCAACATTTCAAAATATTAGTACATTAAAACATTAATATAAGCTTCTAAGATTAGTAATTGATGAGCGTTTCAATACAACAAAAAATAAGAAATCACCTGAATTTGATAAATGTACTTTCATTAAAAACAGCATTCATTAGAACGCATATCAACCTTATTTTGTTATAGTTAGTAAGTTGGTGAAAATTAAAACATATTTATCAAACCAAACAAATGTTTGCTAACCACGATTCATTTATTTCAAATATATTTATAATCCATATGATTATCAACCGTAACCACATTAATTAATTAGGCGTTACATGCACGCACATTTCATTGCACAGACCAAATGAGGTCTTTAAACAGGTGAAGATTTTAAGCAAAGTAGTCTGAGGTCTTCTGACTTGAGAAGTTTGAGAATTCAAGAATAAATCTTAATTAAAAGTAGAAAAAAGTAAATCCTAATTAAAGTAGAAAATTTATGCTGGGCAAGGGCCCTGCTAAGATCCAACATTTTAGTTTTTTTCAAAAATGACGTGTTGAATCTTGTACAAAGTCCTCACAAATTGACGGCCCTTAAGGCTCTTTAGATTAGGCATAAAACGCTGAGTAGAACTGAGTAAACTGACTAGGTTGTGAGACGTTCAGATTTCAAAAGTTTATAAAAATTGCAAATAACAACTATTTTATTCTCAAAATATTTAATCAGATTCTAATTTCCAAGACGTTATCGTCAAATTCATAACTTGTGCATAAAAAATCATCTTCGTCGCAATATATTGATAGTATGGCGTCAAAGTCTTTCATCACTTCTTCCTCTTCTGAATATTCGCCTATGGATGTGTTCAACGGTGTTGAATCAGCATTTACATTTGTTAGGTCAACATTCAACTTTGTTGGGTCAACATTCAACTTAGGTGAGTCAGCATTCAACTTGGGTGAGTCAACATTCAACTTTGTAGGGTCAACATTCAACTTTGTTGAGCCAACAAATGCATAGGCGTTTGACTTTGTTGATTGGTTGATAGATTGCGATTTTTCATTTGTTCTTTCAGTAGAAACAGTGGGGTTGTCATTGTTTGTATATCCAATTGTTGTACATTTCCATGGGTTTTGATTACCGACATTGTTGTCATGTCGTTGGGTTTTATTGAATACTTGATTGTGATGGTTGGCTGTGATGATTGCATCATTGTTGAGCTTGGTGAGGTGGGTGTTGTTGGTCAAGTTGTTGTTGATATGATCGTTTAGAATATTGATCCTTTGTTGAACGTTGGTGTTGATGTGCATTGTGTCATTCAAGGAGGTTGCGTTATAATTAGCGTCGTTATTGTTGTTGTTAATACTTTTATGTTTATTTAATTTTTCATTTGTAAGTTCATCAATCTTATGAAATGATTTGTCGTTGCTTACAATATCACGGTTGACCTTACAATCAAACATATTGCTGTTATTTTTGTGGAAGTTTGAGTTGTTGGGAGCCTTTCTCGTTGTTCCATCACTAATTTTGTTTGCGCATTTGATTTCATCTGCAATTTCAATGACATCATAGTTTATATCATGGACATTTTGATTGCTATTTTCAACATTTATTTGGTTGTTGTTGTTGTCACCTAAATGGCTGACAAATTTTTTGTTTCGATTGAAATTGTTATCAACGATCTTACATTCAGCTCTACAGGACGACGAAACCTCGTGACATTTATATGATAATGTGTGCGAAGTTGCTGGAAGCATTGAATTTATGACGACATCACAAATGCTATCAAAATTTGCTGATTGTCCAGCGTTGATGTCACTGCTCATCGTGTCATTTATGCGTTCGTAAATGCCAGAACAGCTGTTATAATTTAAATCTACTGTTTCGTCATCTGTGTCCTTTTTTAAACTTCCATTCTTTCCGACATTGTTATTTTTTCCGTGACTTTCTAAACGAATTTTTTCAAAACTTGATTGATGTTTCGTAAGTGTCTGCAGAATGTTGTTGTTGACGCATTGCGCAGCTGTGTTGCTGTTATTGTTGATGCACTTTTCAGTTGTGTAATTGTTGCTGTTGCCGTTGTTGTTGTTGCTCGTGTTGATATTTTGATGACTTTTGTTAACATTCCCTATTAACTTGTTGTTTTTAAAGTCGATACAATCCATATTGTTTTGTTCTGCGTTTTCATCAAGGTTATTATAATGACATTTTGATTCATTAGCATCTAAGATGTTGTTGTTGTTGTTGGAAGGTTTTAAATTTTCAACGTTGTTTTTTCCAGTGCTGATATGATCGTTGTAGCGAATGTTTGGTCCATTCGACGTATCTTCATTAAAGTGATTACCATCTTGAGACGTGCCACTGAAACGTTGGTTAGATTGCACGTGATTAAAATATTTATTACCCGGCCTGTTTGTACACCTCACGCCTCTGTCAAAACTCACACTTGAAATTCGTTGCTGAGGTATATTCGCTTGTTGGTTTAATGTTCGTTGTTCTCGTTCAGTTTGCTGCTGCGAGCTATTGTGGAGATCTTCGTTGTCGAGACTGTAGTGGTGGTAGATGTGTTTGAAGTGTCGGTAATTGTGGTGGTCGAAGAACGCTCTGATGGTGTCGTTCAGGTCAGTTCTGGGGCACAAGGGACTGCCCCGTTTGTTAGCGTTCAAATCTTCGGATAGTGTGAAATTAGAATGTAAGATGGGATGTTGATGGTTGATGAATGTTTGACATTCATCTGTTTTGTAGTTGTCTGACGAGTAAATAGTCGCGATGGTGGTTGGTTCATTTTTCCCGTAAGCACGATCACCGTGGTGGCCATCTTCACCCTCGTCCTCATCATCTCCATTTACATTACGTGACCTCCAGGCCTGAATTGTTTCTCCTGAAGTTTGTGACGTGAGGTTTGTTACGCACTCCCTCCTTAAACGTTTCATCTTCTTGTTGTTTTTCAACTTTATGGCAATGAAGACTGCCGTCAACAACAACGCTGGAGCTACCACGGAAACAACAAACAAACTTATTGTCGTCGAGTCGAGGTTTGTATGCCAAACCTGTGGCTGCTCCTGATGTTGTTGCAGTTGAAGTTGTGGCTGTTGTTTGGTTGGTTGTAATGCCGAGTTAATAGCATAAGATTTGTTAGTAGATAAAGTGTTGTTGGAGGCAGGAATAGTGGTAAAATTGTAACTATTGGTCGAATTCATTTTGATGCTAAGTTTACTTTTCAAGTTCAATATTCAGTTATGCATTTCTCAATTTTAAACACTAAGCAGAATCGAGTTAATCAATTTTCCTAAATGTTAACGCTCCAGCCGTTTTACACAGGAAACAGTGATAGTACCTGGTTCAATGTTGAAAATCGGTTGTAATTAATAAAGTGCTGTATAATTTAGTGCGGATGGTATGACCAAAAATAAAACCAGTTAATGACAATTTAAAATATTTAAAAAAAGCCAAATGATGAAATTTCGAATGTGTTTTGGAATGTTTCAAATCGCCTATCAAATTATTGTACAGTTTTTAGAGTATTTCAAAAATTATACAATTATATTTCTTAGATTTTGTAAAGTTCGATTTATGGCCTGACATTAATTTTTGCATTACATACAATTAATAGAATCGTGCAAACCAAAATTTTTGATCGAGACTGAAAGGTTTTGAAATTCAGCCGGAACAATATGTTGCAGGTAGCGCGGTTCAGAATTAATGGTTTCAAGAAGTGTTGACCAAATGGTGTGAAAAAGTTTCCGACAAACCCCGAAAAATCAAAGAAACGCTTTACAGAAAATACACGAAATAATTTTATAAAAGAAAGCCTTCAATAGGTCTTGAATGAAAACAGGATGAAATGTTATAATATAAACATAGAAGAAAAACGTGTATTAATATATTATCATCTTTGATGATAGTACAAAAATTAAAAAGAAACACATGACGTACAAAAATGATTATTGAATGAGACACAGAGCAAGTAAAAAACAGAACATGTAAGGTAGGAACATTGGCTGTAATGTCATTGTGCTAGTACAAGTGGATGTCTATCGATGATATTGTGTTTGCCTTGATGGAGTGCTGTACAAACACCATTGTGTGTGGCTGAAATCTTTCATCGCTCCTATAAATAACCCCCACGCAAATCTTTATGCATTGCGTTTATATGATTTTTATTACAAATTTTTTAATAATTTTTTCATTTATTTTTATTTTTCGAAAATTCATTAAATGAGCTTGTGTTAACTGTTTTTATGCCAAAAATGACGTCACAGAAATCAATAAAAATGAAATTTTTTCGGTTTAATTTATCATAAAAAATTATTTTCTATAATTATTTGAGTTTAATATTTATTTATATTAAGAGTTAATGTAAAATTTTAAAGTTTTTACCAAAATTGTTTCAACATGCCGCAAAGGATCAGCCAACCAAGCCCGCCATGAAATTCCAACAATTCTAATTAATGTGGTGACTGCAGATGATTTCAAGTGGTCACGAAGCGCTGGCGAGGTTGCGTGTTTAATCACTTAATTACTCGAACTGGTCATCCATCAATGACCAGCTTGCACTTGCGTCCAGTTCGCCATCCATCCCCCAGCCTCAATTAGTCAATGACCACGTTTAAATACCAGCACAGGAAATGTTAATGCGGGTTCAAAATAATTTTATTACCCTTCTATGTACAATTATGCATAATAAAATTAATTAATTTGGAAGTATTATTGTAAATTTGTTATTAAAATCATAAAATAAAAAGTACAAAATAAAAAAATCTTTAAATTATTGAATGAAAAATTAATTAAATAAAAAAATGGTGCTTCAACCAGAGATTCGAAACTTTTTTCTCGGTCAGTCAGTCCACCAATTAATCAATCAATCCGTCCACCTGCTCCCTACCTGTGTCTGTTTTTTATTTCTATTTTTTATTTTTATTTCTTAAATGTTTTGCATTAATTCACTTTACTGATAGTTTTTTTGCATAATTTTTCAATTTTTTAAATACGTTAAAGTTGATTTAAATGGATAAACATTAAAAAAAAATAATGAACTACTAATACCTCACCTTCTTCGCTTATTGAACATACAAAAAAAAAATAAAAACAAAACAATCCGGCGATCGATAAACCATTTTGTTGATTCTGAGTGAGACAGCAATTTTGTCCATTAAAAACATCAATAACAATTTATAAGTTTAGTTAATTTTCAATTTTTCTTATATTGAAATTTAAAATTAAATCAAATCAAGTTTTTTTCAAACATAATATTCAACTAGCTTCAAAAAATCTATTTCCATTTCAACGATAAATTTGTTATCATCATAGTAACGTACTATCCAAAGAATGCACTCGATAATTACCATAAAGGATGACGAGTTTTTTAGCTCATTTCTGAATATATCCAATGAAGACATAAATAACTAGCAAACCTTATTTACGAAATGAAATGTAAAAAAGGGAATAAATGAGAATTTTTTTTATTGAAATGCAAGCAATGGATAGGAGCCAACATAAGCGCACCTGTTACGAACATGTTTCCACATTTCACTGTTTGACTGCCTGCAATACCAACCCCATAGTTACCTTGGCTACCTAAATCTTTCAAGCTATGACGTTGGCTTATCTCACACGTATCCAATGTACACATGCATACATACATATTCATACATACAACGTAGAGGATATATGTATGCATGCATGTATTTATGTATGTATGTAGGTTAGGGTGGTTCAAAAAAAATTTTTTTTTAATATTTAAGTGCACACCCCCTATATTTTTTCCTTAGCTGAAAATTAGCATGTGTGCAAAATTTCATTCAATTCTGACAATATTTAGAGGTTGCTCAATGACATTCAGTTTTTCACCATATTTAGCATATAAGCGAATATTGGTCAGTGCTACAATTTTGTGTTTAATGTTTATTTTGCAGTAAAATGAACAACATTCTTGTGAAAATCATGTAAGATTTAACAGTTCTACAAATTTATACTCAAAATAACAAAATATTCAACACTAAACAAACAGCTCTCACAAGGTAAAGGCAACTTGATTATGCCAAACGAAAGTTCACTACTGTTAATCTTTGATTGAGAAACTGAAATTAACTTGAGGCAATTAATGTACTCAGTTTATGTTTTTCTGTTAATCACTCATAGTATGTCAGACTCAAAACATAGCAGCAGCTGCTTGAGCACTGGCTAATGTGCGCTTAGAGGAGTCCGGAATACGTGTTCGATTGTCCTCCACCACCTGTATCAGTTTTTGCAGTTCTGTTTCATTTTTGGTTATAGACTGGTTAAAATTTGTCATGAGTGCCACAGTGCGTTCTGCAGTGTCATTAACGACCTTAAGTGACTTCACAACATTTGCTACTTTTTGAAATAAAGGAAGATCATTCTATGAGTCTGGTTCAGTTTCACGCAAGATAGCAGCATCCATTCCAAGTGATAACAATGCAGCACGAGATGTACCTGATACCAGATCATGCAGTGGTTTGCTTTTCACATGTTCCAGTTCAGTTTCACGCAAGATAGCAGCATCCATTCCAAGTGATAACAATGCAGCACGAGATGTACCTGATACCAGATCATGCAGTGGTTTGCTTTTCACATGTTCCAGTTCAGTTGCAGGATATTTGACACCTCGCACACTCCAGTCAGAATCTACTGCAGTCATTGCTTCCACAATCAACTGCTTCTCAGCATTTGCAACCTTATTTGAGAACAATGACAGCCAAACCATTTCTGTACCGAGATACCACAGATGATTCTTCAACTTTTTTGTGCCAGCACTTGCTACATTCTTGTTGATTTTAGAGTATTGTTCAATTCTGCTCAGAAGTTGCAGGTCATTGACTGGTGCATCACTGGGTATTGGGCACAACATCCATGCTGGCACATATATATGGGTTGCAAATAGGCAGAATTCAGTTAAACTTTTTGTTTCAGTTGCTGTTAGCTTGAATTCATATCGGAACAAATACATTTTGAGACAGTAGATCACTTTGGCCATCCATCTGGCCATGTGATATGCTCCAGGAACACGGAAATGGTACTTGCCATCAGTCTGCATTGGATAACCCAGCACTAAGAGACAGAGTTCAACCAACTCCTTGTAATCCTTTCGTGGGGATGTATGAGCTGTCAGCTGAAAGAAAACATGTCAAAGATGGTACTATGTCAGACCGCATCATCTGTAGCAATGAGTAGTTCATCCTGTCATCATCAAGTGGCTTGTGGTTTGACTGATTTATATTTGGCCAGTAGGCTCGAAATCTTTCAAACATTCCAATGTTGGGGCCACGGCTTGGACCAAACAGAACTGTGAAAACTTCACCGATTATCAATTCATGTACATGATGACGACAAGCAAAGTGCAAGAGATTTCTATGGAGCAGTTTCTCCAGCAAAACACATGCTCCACTTGACGTCCCAGTATTGGCAGCAGTAGTATCAAAGCACATGCCTATAATGTCTTCACTAACGTCCCATAATTTGAGCAACTGAAAAGTTGCATTGGCCTGTGCTTGTCCCGTGCTTGATGCAATTTTAACAATTCCTAAGATTTTCTCCACATTACAGCCAGTCACAACAACAGCCAGTCTATCAGTTCTGGAGTGTGGATCATCATTCATGATCTTCCCATCCCAGTGAACCAGAAGGGGGTTTCTGTCACGATCCTGAAATTGTTGACGAATACTGCTGTCAATGGTTGATCGATGTTGCTGTCGTTTACGATGAACTGTGGAACGTGACAG